TTGAGAATTGTAAGCAGATATGAAAAGGATGATTGGCAAGTGGAGACAAGTAGAAAGAATTGGCCAGGATTGAGTTCAATGGGGAATGCTGGTGGGCGGTCAATGCTCCTCCACGAGAAGTAACAGGTATAAGTAAGTAAATTCTATCATGTAGTGAGTGTTATTTCATTTCACATATATCTATGAATAAACACTAATGAATAATATTGAGTAAATCTATGGATTCAACTACCAAAGTAGAACTATTAATTACATTTGAATTTTAAAGCTAAAACTTCTTCACTCATTTTGTTCAAAGAACTCTGTATCGAAAGTTCATGTGATTTATGCGTAATAATTACCAGTTTTTAATTAAAAATAATCCTCTCAATCAATGTTTTTTTTCAAGAAATTAACTGATTGATTTTATTGGGAAAAAATAAGCGTATGATACTTTGAAAATAAAAATAATAAGTATGAAATATGTAAAATTGTTGTTTCATATTTTTCGATTCTCAAATTAATTTATAGTCTTAAATGAAATCATAATTATTTAGGAAAATTGATTCGATAGAAGGAAAAGTCAAAATTTAATTGATTTACGGATTAAGAGTTTTTTTTCAACATAATTTCCGTTTTTTGTTTGAATGTGATGATTATTCAGTGTAGCGTTGGTTTTTTGTTTTCCAATGTGATATTTTATTCTGTATAACATACGACATTGTTGACAAGATCTATGCTCAGCATATGATTTGTTATACATCTAAGTACTTTTTTATATATGTGATTTCATCCTAATTATTAATCAAAGTGTGTATACAATCAATATATAAATGAGTGTATTTCTGACTAGGATCGTCGTGTTTTTGGGGATTAATAAATCTTCAGTTATACCAGTCTTTGTATTCTTAATTTTGCATCGTGGGAATTGTAGAGGTCCCTCGTTTCGAGTATAAGTGGTAAGCGATCCCGACATAACAATCAGCGACGACCAGATATAACAAGTAGCGTTCCAACCAGTCATTAAGGTATGATCATATTTATTTGTCAAAAAGGTATTTATACCAAGAATTTAAATTGTTCAAATTTCTTCTATTAATTTATTTGTTCATTGTTCGACTGAATCACATTAATTAGTGTCCTTGATCCTCATAAGTTTAATAGAAATAATATTTACTTGAAAACATCATGTTAAATAGAGAACAAATGTTATTATTTCCACTATAGAAACCATTTTGAAATTTCACAGAAATCAGCAATAAAGTTGATATTACGTAGTTTTCCTCACACAATAAGTGCTTTAGAATTCTTTCAGAAAAGCGGAAATATATAGAATTCCTTATTATCTATGTAAATCTACTGTAAATTTATGTTGAATAGTGTTTATTGAGATTTTTTGGTCAAATTTTACGTCACTCAGGGCTCTTTTTCTGTGGTTCTCGGAAACGTATTCAAATACTATGATTTTTGTTATAAACCCACTCTTTTAACTTGATATGTAAGACTTTGTAAAACTACTAAGCTGAAAGTTGTGGTGTGAATACAATAAGCTGGTTTGTTTTCCACTGTTCATCAGTGTTTTTATATTAAACGATCTTACTTTGATAAAATTAATTACATTTCAGAGAGGTCAGTTCATACACTCAGTAACCTTAAATCTTTTTTATAAAACTGGATAAGTAGTAAATGAATGTTTTCTCTGAAAAACACATCAGTTATTATGGTTTTAACATGATGAATTGTAAGAATGTACAAAAACCTTACCAATTAATTGATAAATTGATGTAATTTTGTGGCATAAATTTGAAACAAGTCAAATAAACGCAATTGAAAATATCTATTGTATAAAATGAATTACCATATTTATCATAATAACAATAATTAACACAGTTTTATATGCAGAAACATAGAAGAGGAATAAAGAAGAAGAAGAGGAAGAAAAAGGGAAGATGAAGAAGGGGAAGAATGCAAAGACAAAAATCAATCCATGAATTAATAAATAAAGAACAGACAATTCTCTTATAACACGGTAAATGAAACTGATAAGAGAATATAGATAAACAAATAAATGTGTATATACAAACAAAGGATGGTAAATATAATTGATGGAAAAAGCAAAACCGTAGTCGGAAAATGTACATGCGAATTTTTTCTTAAATTAAACCTACAAAAAGGTTGTTTGCATACATTTTATTATAACAAGTCATTAGAACATAGGTATATATATATATATATATATATATATATATATATATATATATATATATATATATATATATATATATATATATATATATATATATATATATATATTAAAGGAAAAATGGTATTTTTAACTCTCCATTAGAAATATGAAAGGAAATTTATGTAATGGAAAATCAAAAAAGTAAAGGCGGAGAATGTGAAATGAGAAGGGTAAAATAAAGGAAGTAAAAAGGGGAACACAAAATATAGGGTGGTTACAAGGAGAGCGTGGAACAAGGGGAGAGTAAGAGTTACTAAACCTTTTTGGAATAAATCAAATATTATCATTTCAATTAAGCACTAATAATACTCATGATTACCATAATTATTTATCTTAGCAGTTATAACAGCACTGTTAGTAGAACAGTCAATAAAACAATAAAACTATGTACTTTATGAACTTGATTACTAATATGTTAGTCATAACGAGAAAAAATTAAGTTGAATTTTTAAGTAGTAAATAATAATAATAATTAAAAAATAAGTGGTTTTAATTCTGTTATTTGTTTTTTCTCACAGCAGCTCGAATGAATATACGAATAAATGTGTATAAAAGAAACATTTGTTCATAATTATGATAACGATTATCACTTGCCATGATCTGCACATTCTACCTGCCATAATTATGATAAACTCTTTTCAATGATATAACAAAATCAGTAGTTGTAGAAGTGGCAGCAGTAGTCTTGACTGTCTGTATATTTAAATAACTATCGTATTAAGAGAGGAGGAGTTGTAAGATATGGATTGGTGAAATTGAAATGAGATAAATAAAATGTAAATAAATTACTTGAAGTGATCAAATTGATGAATAGGTTGTTAATCCAATCAGAATAATGGTAGTTAAAAAGTATAGCACCTCTCTTTTGCTCACTCCCTCTCTTTGTATAGATATCAGTTAGAAACATAAAAATAATAGGATTTTGTGTACAAAATAACCAAACATTGTGGAAATTATAATCAGAAAAAAATTTATTATTATTATTGTAACAATATCAATATTGAAGTATATACCGATAAGTTATCTGATTTATTAAAATAGATTATATATTACTGAAGTAGTGAATTCTTTTTTACAAGGAATATAAAAACATAAAGAAAGAGATAGATAAAGTGAGGAAGAATGAATTACTTTTTGTTTATTCCATTTCAAATTACATTGTCATTGCGATTTCGACAAACTAAACAAAAAGAAAGAAAAAAAATTGAGATTCTTCATTGTAAACAATTCATTGAATTAATAATCAAGTATTAAATGGTCAATTTAGAAAAAAAAGGTGAATTGAAGAAAAAAAAATTCACAAATGTAATACTGAACAAAACAATATACTGTTCATTGTATTGTTTATTTGAAAGTAGTCTGAAATCGTTAATTTATAATTCACTATAAACGAGTGGAAAATAGGTTTGATAGACATTTTTATTAAAATGTTAAATGTTTCGTCAACTGTAAATATATGTAACATATGTAACAGTTAAAAAAATGACAAATGTCAATTAATAGTTATATTACACGTGATGATTAACAGTGAAACAAATTTTGCCAGTTAGTTATTAAGTTCCATTAGTAGTTTAAATCATAATCATGTACTTGTCTTAATTTCTTATTTAGTGCAGCGTTACGTTGTGAAATGTTACATTTTGGTTATACTAATTGATTTTAGATTACAGTTTTTACAGATTTCTAACATCGTCATTTTATTAACCAGTACGTCTATTTAGAAGAGCTAAAAAAATGTTAATTAAACAAACACACTTCTATCGATCTGAGAAATTTTAAGTTTTTGTGAACCTGTCCATATATCAGTAGGGACTGAACATTTAAGTAGGTGTTAGGCTTTTTAGTTACACGTTTAATCCCAAGTAATATTGACTGTCATAACTCACTTCCTACAAGATTACTTCAAAACTCATCAATACACCTTGTATGACGTAGATCAAAAGTTTGAAAGTATAACTTTTAACTTTGAACAATCACTCGCCTTACTTTATCAGGAGTAGTTTTTGAACAATACACTAGAACAAAGAGAAATGATAAAAGTTCAATGACTGAAAACAGTCATACAAATCATGTAGGCTATTAAAAGGCAAGCGAGTTTTCAGTATTAACGCCAACGTTTCACCATAAGTGGAAAAGTTTCCCAACTAAATGAAGTGTTCTTATTTTTTATATTTCGAAGGTCAATATTTTATTTTACTTTCTAAAAACTACGAAGTTTATCCTCCTTGCTTCCTTATCATTACTAATAGCTACAAAACTAGTTACGTTTCTTTCATTTTATATAATTTGAAAAGTAGTATATTTATTAAACTGAAACGTTAGTTGCAATTTTTAATAATCAACACTCTAATCTCGTATATTTAAGCATAATTTGCGAAAATAGATGTAGTTACAGATTGATACCAGCTGCTGAAACATTTAAAACTAGGCACCATTGAACATATTGTTCGTCCCAATTAATGACTCATTATTCAACATACGGTAAAGACTTTGTTCGATCAGCATTAAATTTGAAAAATATTCAAGTTTGATGGTTACCCAGTTCTCAAAACTTAAGTCATTTCATCAGATAACACGCCTACTTCTAAAACTACTTTAAATTACACGTTATAGACAAACACTTTATTAAACTGAAATAACAAACATATCACATAAAGCACTTGTATATCATAACAGTATTTAATTTTCTTTATTTGATTTGATCATTTTTGAAGACAGTTTATTGAAATTCTGTGATTTCAGAAGCTCAATATATCGTGATTAGATGTTCGTGTAATGTACTTGTTTCATTGTACATCGAGATGTACATTGTCGAATAACTTGTATCCCTAAAAATAAATTTATTTATGATAATTCTGGAGTTAATTATCAAAACAATGGATACAATAAATAAAACGAAAAAAAAAAACAAAAACAGGAAAACCTAAAAGCCTACTTGTTCCAAGGGCAGAACAGCTCGTCCACCATGATCAAAATTCTTAAAAATTGCTATAACCACATAATACAAATGAAAAAAGAAAATAAATTAATAAAAATATTCAACAAAACATAAAATTGTTTTCGTAAAAATATTATCGATCGAAATTAAGAATAATCATTAGAGACACTTATCAGTGAGAATAATTTTACCCATATGTAATAGAATCAATAGGAACATTAATCTTTACTAAAAACTTGATCGCTTAGAGTAATTTATCTTGATAAGAAAAAAAATTATCGTGAAGAGAATTTTCTATATTCTTTTTTCTCTTCATAGTTAAAGTGTCAATTAGATTGATAAGTGAATTCATTTTAGATTTAGAGAAAGAATAGAAACTATAAATTTGTAACAAAAATCTATTTTGTCCTACTGCATAATTTCTCAATCGAAAGTACTTGTTTCAAAATATATTATATAGATATAGATCAGAAAGTATATGTCTGACATTATCAATTTATCAATGGTAATTTAATAATTCTGAATGAAATGATTTATGTAATCGTCATTGACTTCAAGTAATTAAATGAAGCAATAACGACTTATACGTTAATATTACACAACTATCAAATCATTTTTTCCATGTATTCGATCATAACTACTTCATCATCGATCATAAATTAGTTAGACAAACAGTATTAGTAAATATTATACTAATAATATGACTGAAGACTATTTTTATGAACCTTGACTTGGTTATTCAGTTAACTACATGTTTATGTACAAGTAAACTTGTTGTGAGTATCAAATCCACCGTAGTGTTTTATTATTCCTAAGGTAAAAATGTTTACGAGTCACTTTTTATTCCAACTTCAGTTTATTTTTTTATCTTCTAAAACGAATGAAATATTTATGTAAATCCCATTTCTTAACGGATAAATAAGTGAAGAGGTGGGTTAGCATTCATAATAATAGTAATAATAATAATAATAATAATAATAATAATAACAATAATAACGGTAGCACTTACCAACTGCTTTTGTTATAAGTGACATAGCGCTGATAAAATGCGGATAATCAAGACGCCAATCTACATTAACAAATCGGTTCACAAGTTTGGAAAATAGTGTGTGTGGAAGAGTATAACCTAGTTGAGAGAACAAGCAACAATATAATAAATAATCAATATTTGATATATCCCCCAAAATAATAAAATGCTTTTCAAATACACTGTTAAGAGTGAAGGATATGTCATTCTTGACAAGTGGTAGGTAAAATAGCTGGTTGAAAAAAATAATAAAAACAGCCAGGCCAAGATAAGGCATAAGTCAATGGAGTTGTTGGTTGCTCTTCAGAAACGTGTATGGCGAATCAGACTTAACGATTGCAGTTAACGCAGGTACTGGAAATTATAGTTGAAGACATTACATGACAATTTTTAATACTATAATAATCAGTTTTGTGTGCCTGTAATGACTTGTATCGAATAATAGAAATATGGAAACTGTTTACAGCAAACCAGATAAAATAAATGACTTAGTGATATCAGCAACTGGAAAATTTATGTCTTGACATTTTTTAGTTTATCAATGATACAAATAGACTTCACGACACGTTCAGAAATAAAATTGTTAAGTAATTAATAATGAACTGTTTTCAGGCCATAAAATTTTCCACTAAGTAATATGAGCAGTTAGGTAGCACCAAAGTCGTTTATCCGAATTTTGGAAATGAGAACAATGATAACTTACAAAATCAGTTAAATAAAATGACTTATCTGTACAAACTGTTGACAATTATCAAACTAAAAAAAACTAAATTTTCTTAAATGAACATACTCTCAATTGTACAAATAACTCAATTACTATTTGTCTCGTCATGAATTATTATCCGTATTATTACTAAAATGTGTACTGAAAAATATTAAAATCGCATAAAAAGCGTAATTTACCCGCTTGTTCAACAATAATTCGGAAGTCCAAACTCGTTACATGAGCAGTTCTCTGTGGATCAAAACTTGCAAACAGACGAGACCATGATCGTAGAATATCCCAGACTCGCCGAAAATCTGATTCACACAAACGTCCTGTCCCATCACGATCGAGAAGGGCTACCAGAGATCGACAAGCATCTGTACTAACCTGATTAAATTTTTAACAAAATTTTAATGAATTATTGTACAAGAACACTTACATAAATACTGAGTAAATTCTGTAAACATTTCAAATCATACACTATCAATAATGATAATCTTATTAAAATAACAAATGAGTTTAACCCAACAATTAAAAATCGATAGGTAGACTTTTTAAACGTTTGAACAAAAATTACTATCAACAAATTACACATGTTTTCTACCTTACATGTAAAACAACAGAATAATACCGAACGAATGGTTTTATTATTCTCACTTAATGTCGATATCTAATGACGTTTGGGGCAACCTAAAACACTAAGTCTAGAATCTCAAATAAACAGAATCATCGAGTACCTTGTATCTTAAAATTACCGCTGGTTATTCTCAGTGTTGAGTTGTCGTAAATTGAATTTATATACATCTGAATTGCTAACAATTAAGAGATTCTTCTAATACAAAGTGGGATCTTTGTGAAGTGGAAAAACCGGATGGCTAATACACAACACTTAAACGATAGTCCTCCGAGCACTAGATGACAGAGAAGAAAAACATTGGAATAATGTAATATATAAGCCTTGAAAACAGTAGATAATCACATCAACAGTTAAGTGCCTTTCCTGATTTAAACATGAATAGTTTTCGCATTTCTCAAAGTAAAAGAGGATACAAAATCTTCACACTGGTAAAGGAAGCACGATTCACTGATTTATCGGTAATATAGGGAACTCTGCCAATTACAATCAAAATGAAACTTATTCTTAAAATGTTCAGCAGTAATTTTCAAATCAATACTACTTAATTGGGAAGTTTCTAAGTCATATGGACATATGAAATGGAAGGTTATTACATACCATACTGTATGGTGCCCGATGATCATCTCGCAAAAGACAATTAAGTATTGGTTCCAACTGAAATGCATCAACAGCCATCGATTCACCTGAAGCTTCATAAAATAATCGTCTAAGACGTGGCTGAAATAATTCATAGTTTGGATCAAGCTCTGGTCCAGTTGCAGCTAAACCACTAAGTTCTACGCGTTCCAAAGTGGGTCTGAAAACAATAAAACAAATCGATGTTTTATGCTAGAAGATAATATAGTATATTAGATAATTTGTTAGATTTCAATGTTAACACGTTATCAATCATCATAGGTAATAACTAGTAAATATAAGTGATGGCCTTTGACAATAAACATTAATCCCTACTGTTGTTCGAACTCTATCATTCAAATGCATTATATAATTATTAAGATAAGTAAATCAAAATTATATCACATTGTGATTTCTGTCTAACAACCGGAAACAGTTATTAGAAATTAAATTCCTTTTGTGAATTTAATATAACGTATTCATTTTAGGTTACTGAAATGGCTTACGTGGTTTCGCTCATAGTTTTGTCGATAAATTAACTCTCGTGAATATATATAAGCGGCCTGCTTAAATATCTGGAGTACATGTTCCTGCTATCTAGATATTTCAACAAGTTATCTGCCTTTTGTTTGTTTCAACAGATCATTATGTCAATTAATTGCGTAACCTATTCAGTTAGGAAAGAGCACAATCAGAGACATTGTGGTTGCTGGCAACATAAAACGAAAAGAAAGTAAATTATTCAGATGTCGATTCCTGAACTGCCAACATGTAACTGGCGATCACTCAGTATTTATCGTCAGGATCGATTGAGAAATAAGGAAAGGAAACTTGATGAAATACTTTGCGCTGATAATTCTATATTGTACCAAAAATATAATATTTAATCAAGCTAATAATAATACAAATTTTCCGACTATATAAGTTCAAAGCTGTTAGTTAATTATCAGAGCTGATAGATTAAGGAAATAATTACTTCTGTCAAATATAGATTAATGTTCTATTTAGTATTTGACTTAAAAGTAACTGGCTTCTTAAAAATCACATGAAGAAAATTTTTGTTACAGACAAAGAGCTACTTACTCGCAAATTCTATCCGGATTGTCAAATAATAAACGTAATAAAAATTCACCTGGTTGATCAGCTGCATATGTACATGGAACAAGAAGATAATGACCTGGTGTTAATTTTAACCGTTTAACAACTTCTCTAGAATCGAAGAAAAAATCCACACTAGCTATATGATGATTAGTTTCAAAAAATCCACGTGGCATTGGTGGATTAGCACCAGCTGGAAGCTGATTATTATTGTAACAACAGAAAATAAAGATAAAAACGGTAGAAATAACAACCATTGAGGAGATTTATTCGACTTATTTTGTCATAATTAAAACGTATACAATGAAATTTAAGTTTCATGTTCATGTATACTAGAATATAATACTTAGATAAAAATCAAGATCTATCATAAATTATGAAATTTATTGCATCATACACTTTCCCATAAAGTATTGACTAGCAGCCAGTGTGTTTGTGGATTGAACTTCAATCTGTTAGCAGTCTATTCTCAAATCAATCGCTACTTAAGTTGATATCAATATTCGTTTGGTTTGGCATGGAAAATACTCGGCTTTTTGACCAATTACTTCGTCAACTGATTGCATATAAATTTCTACTTTATCAAACCAAATAAATAGGTAAGATTTTGAAGTTTGCAAATACTGAACGTACAATAGCTACAACAGTGCGCAAACTTCACAAAATTATAGTACAGTTAACCAGCAATGGCATCATCCATCTGATAGATTAAGAAACTAATCACCTTCAATCTTAACTACCCAATGTACAGAAAATTTGAAACATTATCTTTTCAATGACAAATACGAGGACAATGTGTAGTATCATTCACTTTGTTATAACACCATAAAGAATTATCTAATGCAAAACAAACATCTCATCTTACCAAGATTGTGTACTTTACATGAATTTAGTTTATTTTTGGATATAAGATTAAAATATATAATATTAGTTAAACAGTTGGATGTAGTGCATAAATATAATTTAATCATAATTCTATATATGAACAATTTACAAATAATAAAATTATCAATTTGAATGAAATCATTAATTAGTTGGCGGAAATAGAATTTCTACAAAATTCTCGAAATAAACAAAGGATTGTTTCTCTACATTATTTTCTAAAGTTGATAACAATGAAACAAATAAAGTAGTTTTGTACTATTGAATTCACTGGTAAACTTATTATTTTACACGTTTTATTATCTAGTTCAGTTTTCTTAAAACTTGTGTTGCAAGAAAATAAATTTCTGAGGTTGAATAACTTCAATACTGAATCTTCAGGAAATATAGTAGGTTCCATTGCAGAAATACTATAACTTATAATAACATTATATATATAATACCAAACTTATTAGATGAAAATACATATACATTATATTGTCAACTTCATAGATTTCATATGCTCAAATCTAACAGGAAAAAGGCGTTACTAGATTTTTACAATATAGAGGTCATATAAATAAATTACTTTATTTTTAACGGAAGAAAGGTAATTCCTATGTTAGCTGATGAAGATTATATAAATAAATATATACAACATAAGGGTAGAGTTCATATGAAAAAAATTTGCTTTATAACGTACATACATAAAGGGAACACTGGTACTAATGGGGTAATTTTGCTGTCAATTCAATAATAATTGACTTATATTTTTATTATCTGTAGTTACATACGAATTCATATTGAAATCAAATCATTAACTGATCTAAATTGTATTTTGCCGCGGTTGAATACAAAAATTAAAAATCACGGCTTAGTGACTATAGAAACGAACTGTAACATTTCTCAATAAAGCGATTTAATCACAAAAGGTGGTAATAATAATCTTGTTTCTTTTGTTAATTTACTCATAATAGTTTGATACTTAGAATAAATGACGGAATGGATATGGTACTGTTTTATGCTATTCCCGTACTAGAAATGTGAAACAAATTACAGGTACTGAAAGATTCAACAGACACCAAGTTTCGAGATCAACAATTCGAATTCCCTGAGCATAAAATTGTGACATTACAAATCCCTATGCATCAAATTCCTTGACTATGAGGAGTTTTGCAGTGAGGATAGAAGAAACTCATGGAACCTTCTTCAACGCTATGGAGCGAGTAGCTGAGAAAATCGCCAACATCATCCGAAATTCATACGACGGACTACATTACAAAGTAATGTATGGAGGACAGCTGATAGATGCATTCCAAGTGAAGATCGAAGTCAGACACATTCGCTTACTCTCTTCCTTTCTCTTTTGATAGTTGAGTGGATTATGAACTCCACATCCGAGGGGAAGCACGGAATAAAATGGACGGCTTACATGCAACTAAACGACTTGAACTTCACAGATGACCTGACCCTTCTGTCCCATACACACTAACAAATGCAGATGAAGACAATCGGGGTAGCAGCAGTCTCTGCATCAGAAGGCCTCAAAATACACAAGGGAAAAAGCAACATTCTTAAATACAACAAGGAGAACACCAATCCAATCACAATTGATGGAGAAAATCTGGAACAGGTGGAAACATTCACATACCAGGTCAGCACCATTGATGAAAGTGGAAGATCTAATACAAGCGTGCAGATAGTTACTGGCTCATGCAACAGGTATGGTGTTTATACAATTACTTATAGAAATCATAAAAAAACTAATATGCGATCAGTCACATAACAAATAACTTTAAATTTTACATAAGATCAAGAATAAAACTATACGTATAACGGTAACAATATGTCTTCTGACAGAAATTGAGGAATTTTCAGAAAAAAGAGCTGGTATAACCTTGTAGTCAACTAATTTTTATGCGACTCTACTATTCAGTTTTTCTGTAATTTAACATCTAGTGGTTTTGTCAAATCACAACTGTTCACATTCTATATAATAAGATTAATTAATGACTAGTGAAGTTGAAGCAAACATAACTTATCTACGCAAGAAAGAAATACTTAGAATACTGGTTAAAATCTTTTTCCTTGAATCCCATGATTAAAGTTCTTACATTTGATTGCCAAGATTCCAATAAGTGACACAGAATCTTTGGTCGTTAAAATGATGTTTACTCTTTCTTTTTTAATCAAGTTCTCTTTGAAGGTTTTATCAATTTGTTTGTTTTTCAATATACATTACAGACAATACAATATCGTTAGCTTTTATGATAATGTCAAGAACGAATGAAATGTTCTCAGTTCCTGCATATCTTGATGTTACCCAAGACTCATATAACTCATGGAGTTGTTGGCAGTCGACATAAGTCAAGAGCACATTACCGAAATTCTACTATCACATATCACATCTAAATTTCATAATATTTAGTTAATCCAATAATGTTTTGCCCCAGAAATTGTTAAAATGATAAATTGTTCTGTTTTATTAAATTACATAATTATAGGGAACGAAAAGGAGTAAGTTAATAACCTAATTTAATCAGTACTTTCATGTAATGCTGTTGAAACTTGTCTGAATGAATACTGATATAAATGACAAATGAATCTTAATATAAGTAAACAAGCAATATCATTAGAGAAAAACTTGTTAGTAATGCACTAAAAGTGCATTTGATACCAGAACTTTACCATAATTTGATTAGAAAAATAATTAGCTCAAAATAGAATTGATTATCCAAAGTATCATAACACGATTATTTATATATTTAGAATTTGTAGTCTTTCATGTAAACGAATGTTATTGAGTGAATTATTTTAAAACAAATTAGACTTAATTCATTCCCCACTTCATTTATTTATCATTCAACTGTTAATTTCGACTTATTCTATTATGAACTCAGTATATATGAATGTGCAAGATAAACTTTTCAAATCCTTTTAATGTTACAAAATAGTTGATAATAATCGACATATGCTCACTAGTGTCTGGCTTCAACATGTAAATCCTGGAGTTCTAGTGATAAGCAGTGACCAGTGAAGTTCAACCGGGTTAGTTGTGAGATACTAATTCACTGATGGTAATGATGGATGTGTCGCTCAATTTTGTGGATTAGTTGGAGTTAGATATTGATGTTATTAATTAGTGATTTTGGATCTAAGGAGATACAGCATAAAATAGCTACTTCTTAGCAAGTGTAATCACCATTTATTTTGATTCGAATCTTATCTGCTTTAGTATTTCATTCCCAAGCAGTCAATGTCAACTTAAATAATTGTTCAAGATCATTTTAAATCCATTTGGTTAAAAAATTAGTGAATTTATAAAATCTTAGATTATTAGCCGTATTCACTATCGGCTTTCTTAATCCATTGACCAAGCGCTTATCTATGTGGCATTACGGAACACTAATAATAATAACAATAATATTCTCATATGTTTATGGTGATTTCCTAAATAAACTATCTACGTATAACAAAGATTGAGTAAATACTATTTACTTCATTTATTGCAAAGAATTAAATAAATATATGTTCGCAAATGCAACATGAATAGCGGAAACTGCGCAAGTACATCATTGGTTGACAAGAGAAATTATATGCATAAATCTATGCACACATTAATAAACTCGTAAATCTGTGTATTGTGAGAAAAAAACAATAAAGTAAGCTTCACAATCTTTAAACTGATGAAAAACAACACAAACTGTGATTGTACATATAATACGTTATTTATGGAGAAGATAATTTATTATTAAGGGTTTAATTCTTTGCGTTGTCGGTGTTAAGAACTGTAAGGGATCAGTCTCCTTTGGTATATGAGCATCCTGAGAGGATTGCCTCGACATTGCCACCAGTCGTAAATATTTTTCAAGTTGAGTTAGACTGTAGTTTAATACACTGGAGACAAAAATCATTTGTTCTTAACATATGATATTAATACTTTTAACGTGATGATAGTCCAGAGGGCCAGTATATGCAAACAAAATCTTTTTTTCATAAGAAGCACTTATATATATTAGGAAACATCTATCAATAAACACAAGCAAGAAACAAAAGTGGAGTATTTTCAGTCTAGAATGATTAACCTTTCAAACAGATAACTAAATCTATAAGTTTGTTTATTCAACATTGGTGATACTAAAGTTCGTCAAAAAATGCTATAAGAATATCTCAAGTGTCAGGTTGTATAGATACATAACCTAATGTTTGGAAAGATGAACATAAGTTGTATTTCACCCTAAATGTTCAAGCAAAATTATATTAGTAATCGAAAAATGTATACAGCGTACCCGATATAAAACAAATCCAATAGATGCGAGTCGAGGAGCACGATGACGTAGACGACGACGGTCAGCTTGCATTAAAGCAATTACGGTTGTAGCAAACCCATCAGGATCATTTGGATCAGGTGAATTAATCACCAGTCGAAATTGAGGATTCGCCCAGTGACTTGCACGGATGTATGGTCGACCTCCACATGACACACCTCGAAGCCATCGACCACGTAAGTGAACTGATGGGAAATTATGTAAGGAATGATAAGCACTAGAAGATTTAGAAATTACTGGAGGTGGCTCTGTTAGATGACAAATATCCAAATAGTCAAAATTGGCAATAAAATCTTCAAGGGACATCCTGGAAAGTTGAAATGTACCGACACAAATAGACGGATAGTTATAAATTTAACACGAATAAAATTAAACTTATACGGTAGATAAACATTATAAATTTTGGTCCGCTTTAAGAAAATTTGTTTGGTGTAAAGGTAAATCTCACTGAAAAATAAATTAGTTCGGTTAAAATCTGAAGGTAATTAACAATTCTTTCAAATTCACGAAACCTGAGTTATATTTTCACTACCAGGAGTAGTTGGTTAACGTTCGCTAACGATTTCAATATAGACAAGGAAATTATACATATATAATGCTAAAATATACCTTAAATCTAACTTGTAAAGTATTAAGATCGATTAAATTAAATTATGCAACTCAGTACGCTAAGAAAGTTATAATTACGAAGTATATTGATATATATAATATTTATCCGTTTTCAAAACTGAAAAAAAGTAAATTATAAATTGCCGTTGGAATTAGTGTGTAAAATGTCATCAAAACAATGTAATAGCAGGCTTTATTTTGCGCTTTAAAATATGCAAATTAATCCAATTCAAAATAGAAAGCCAATCAAAAACAAATTATCATAAATTTATTACCAAAACTCTTCTTGAGCTTTCACCAAGCCAACTTTTAAGCGGTCTTGTGGTGGAAGACTAAGCCATTCTGTTGAACCCTCTGACCATGCACCTGTCCAGTCCACACGAACTGAAGGCCATAAATTTCTTAAGCGAACTAAACGGAGTAAACGACTTCCTGATGCATCCGTCAATCGAAGCTTTCGACAATCTGTTAAACCAAATGCTTGACCAGGTACAAATCCTACCGGTATGACAAAACCTGGACCAGGTACTCCTTTAGTCTGATTCCAATTAAAATAAGTTAATAAACAAGGCAAATATTTAATTACTGAAAAAAACGCCAGTGGAAATTTTTAAAAAATCATCACACAACAAGCAAAATTATCTTCGATATAAAGGTCTTATTGATAAGAAAACCTGTGGAGATAAGCTGTATATAATAGCAACCCAATATACACCCAGGATATTAGCAGTTAATCAAATTTACAGTTATATCATGAACTGACATGATAGGTTGATTCAAGACCTATTATGAGCATTACAGACATCGTAATCTTATTTGTTATGTTGTATGTATCCACACACAGTTAATTCTGACCTTTCATACTTGTAACCATGTTATGTGTGTTTATCTATGTCCGCTTGTCTATATTATCTTTGTTTATTTGAGCCATATGGGCTGGCACAAAATTAAATAAACGATTTGACGCCAGATATATCCAGATTTGCATGGTTGACGGTTATTATGTGGATGCGTGAAATATATTCTTCTACCTATATTTATAATTTGACTTTCAAATACCACCTATACACAATATGGCTAGTCGGAGTTATTATATACGAAATTAAAAATAGAGTATATTTTATCTTCATCAATTAGAGACAGAAAATATGCAAAGGGGTTGTACAATAAAATATATCCGATTGATCTTCAGGTTTTTTGAAACTTCAAACCAATAAACAGGTAGTAACTCGCATTTGTGGACACAGTTGTGAAAATCCAATACTGGACGCAGTAATTGTTCATCAATCGCTAGCTCTTCAGATGGTGTACATCCGTAGTGAAACTATCTTAGGATATATAAATTAACTATGACTTGGTTTTTGTGAAATTTAATTAACAGTAAAGTAACAAGACATTAACCATTAGTACAACTAACAGTTGACGATTTAAAGTGAAAAGAGTAGAACAAAATTAGAAAACAAATGATTATATTTCTTCTATTCACAGCAGTTAGGGAAATATTAAATAAAATCTAGTAAAACTTTAGTCAGATATTTATAAAGATTTGTTTTTTTTTAAATTAGTTTGACTAAAATAAGATGAGAAATTATTATAAATTCTTAGAAAAGAAAGAACTTGTAACAATACTAAATGCTAAACGTCAAAGAGATAATTTGTAGGCCAATCAACATCGTTTCATGCAACGACCACAACATAGTATTCAGCCATGGGGTTCAAATAAGTTAGTTCATAGTTTACTATTTGGATCGATTCAAATAGTTAATAAAGCTAATCGATTTCCTATTTCGTCGATTAAACAGATTACATCTTTTAACTTAATCTTTTTCAAAATAAGTCACTGAATGTTACCAGAGCATTATTTAATAAGATAGTTGTAAAGGCTTGCATAATCTGAATAAAAATGTTCATGACATACGATCTAAGATTATTTTATTTTGAATAGCTCTTTAACTAAGGAAGGTTTAAGATAAATACTAACTCAAAAACTTCTTTTCTTATTGTTTATGCAACTCTTTAAATTTATCTACAACTGTTTCGCTAACAAAGTAAACTAGGTTCATTCAAGCACTTTTCTGTGATATTAAATAACGAATTATCAAATGTACGGCTGTGATCAAATTCATACTGAAAGATTTAACAAGATGATCGTTTTGCAATTTCATACTGAATCAAGTGGAAAATATCCCATATTAAGTAGTTCATCTAATCAGACTCACAACTGTGATTAACATTTGTCTATTTAAACAACTAACACTTTAGACATTTCTTGGTTGACAATAAACATAAGATTCAAAAGCTTTTATTTACTAGTCTTGTCATCGTTTTTATCATCAATATTTAAGAGCATTAACCGCTTGTTCCCAACGGTCGGTCACCTAGTAATAACATATACCACGATGCTTAATATTTAGTATTCATAGGATGTTATGGACGTTTATTATAGAGTAATACTTAGTTAAATGACTTGATGTTTTAGTGTACTTTTTTATTGTTAAGTAGTTATAAGCCAACGATTGAAAATACTAGATCTAGTTTTTTATTGTCTAACACTAGTCAGCTATACAGAATTTTAAAAATGAAGGACTCTATGCACCACGAAGATTAGAATTCTTATCATTCGTTAATGCTATTAGAGATGTTACGACTGTGTTTTTTGGATTAATTAACGTATTCTACTCACATCTATGTTCAGCATACTTTATTAGGTTCAATGTATTGTTTATCTAAATATCTAAAAATAAGTTACTATTTTTGCTTAATTGAGATTAAATCTCTATTGTGAAATTATTATAAACAAAAGTTTGTCGTTGCAAAATGTAGTTTTTCAAAGTGAAAAACTTTGATTTAAATTCATTTCAAATTTTATTGAATATACATTTACAATCATCAATTCACTAGCTAAAATACAATTGCACCTTATATTTCTCTTTACGTATTAATTTCTTTTGTTAACAGAGCCTAAAATATATGTGTGTTAGAGGGAATGAACAAGTTAAAATTCACGGTTCATTTCAACATTTCTTATAACCGATCATGTTTTTGTAGCCGAGTTAGTCGAGTATTACTCAGCAAAAATGTTATCCTGTGTTAAAATAAAACATGAACCAATGTAGGTGTTTTCACATCATTTGGTGATATATTTCTGAAAATCAACTTATTATAATCAATATTTCTACAGCCAATCAAAGATCACAAACCGAAATCAAATCTCTGAGATCACTAGAGATTTACTAAAACAGCACAAAATCTACGGCTAATTGACGAAAGTGAGTAAATCGATCCTAGCGTTCATAACCCACATTGATAACGTATGAGAGAAAGAAGTAAAAATAAAGAAATTAATTAAAATATTAAAATCCACTACGTGGTTATCTATCGAAATGCTGAAGTTATAACTATAAGAAAGCAAGAAAATTAACAAACCTTTATGCGAGCTGTAATCAAACTTCGACGATCAAAAGATTTTATTAATATATCGTCTAAGTCGGATGGAGGTTGAAGTCCGTGGTCTTCTGCCCCTGGAAGTGTATATGATTCTGTTAAACCACCAGTCAGATCATCCATTGCATCTCCGACAAGTCCAACATTCAAAGCTTCATATGACCCATTTAGTCTGAAATTGTTTGAAATTTTTCCAAAATAAATTTCGACGGTAAAAAATGACGTCAACTGAAAGTTAATCAGCTAAGTTGAATAAAACAACTCAAGATTTAAAACGAGTGACTGAAACTAGATATTTAAACATTCCACGGCTCTAGTTCTATCGTTTCCCTGCTTGTTAGGAGCGTTAGCTTTATGGCTTTCAGAGACTCACGACTTTCGCCACGAGGCATAGTAACTCTTCACTATGAATGCCCTTCTCCCTCCACATTCAACCAGTTCTTTATAGTTGGGGGTCCCATCTTACGGGTTGAGGTTGTTAAACCTTCCCCAAACCCTCCTCTTATATCTGGGCATGGGACCGGCAGTAACCCTAGAGAAGCTCCAGGCAGAGTCACTGACAAATAGACAAATGTTTAAGTTGGGACTTTATGGATAATTAGTGACTAAAGTTTCAAGATGTACAAGTTATGACATAATTGAACCCAGTATATACATCCAAGACAGACACTACTTAAGCAGTAATGATTCGTAATTGAAAGCCCCCATTTATATAGCTTTCAATATGATCTATTTTTCAATTCAGGTTATTTAATATGTTGTCATTCACCATGTTGATTTTCTAAGCTTAATAAGCGACAAAATGATTAAAGTAAAACAAAAATTGTTTCAAAATCTCAAAATTTACTTTAACTCTTGAATTAGTGTACAGGGATTGAAACTGATCTCTCTAAATAGTATTATATTAAAGAACCATAAATACAAATTCTACCAACAATCGTGTGTTGTCTATTTTCATGTATATTTTCAACCATTCTGTAATATAGCACCATCAACTAGAAAAGAAAAGTAACTAGAAAGTACTTGTTAGTAACTTCATTATTTTGCAAGTACTACCTTGTATTACTTTAGAATAACTCTCTTCGTTACAAACTGTAGGAATTAATTTTTCGCAAGAATTATAAATAAACAACGCCATTAACCTAGTAATTTGCATCTGTGATCATGAAGCACCTTAGCATTTCATAATAGTATATAAATAGTTCTAAATGAAGCAGTGAATAATCAAATTTATCAGAATTTTGTTATGATATTCAAAAATACTCATACAATGAATGAATTACTGAACAGAAATATTTAACTAACTTTGCGTAAGCTTTTTCCAATAACGTTGGCCAAAATTCTGTTAAACGTCCAGAATGTACAAACAACGGTTGACCACCAGATTTAACTGGAAGACGATCATCAATATAAACTTCTTCCCAACGCCCAAAACGCCAGAATCGAAAGGCAAATATGCCAGCATACCATTCTACTCGAAACGACTGTCCAGTAGGAATAGTACGACTAAGAAGACTCGGTTGGCTGGCTATAGCAGCCAATGCAGCAACTACCCAACAATCTCCTACAAATTTAAAACAAAAACTGATTGGTATCATTAATTGTATGATTCACTCGGTGAAACAGACTAAACAGCCGGCTACATAAGTATGGGTATATGCTGTTTATCAAAAAAATATACCGGCACAGACAAATATCTAGAAAAAAGACTGTTTTTAATTACATTGAGTGCTTGAAGTGAAAATGGGGACTTAGAACAAAATCCATTATATTTATAAACCAGAATTTCTATTTAGTATTAGATATAGTAAAATATTTATCAAAACTGTAGGAAACGTTCAGCTACTAACATATCCAGAGTCACGAGGGCTATTTGGTAATTATATATATGTTCAAGACCCTCGTATTACTTACATAGTTTCCTGTGAATTGGCTCATGAACGTTATCGCCAATAAACTTTCTCCATGATTTGTTTTATTCACTGATACTTATAGAATGATTAACGTTATTCGCACACTCTTATTTAGTAACGATCAATAACTTTAAAGTGTGTTTGCGAAACGAAGTCTAATTTAAATCAAAAATGAAAATCAAACCTCAAGTTAATTACAGTATAACTATTACCTCTAATCAACTGTTTCTATTTGGTTGCTGCTAATTATTTGACTCCTTACAGTAATAAACACACTTTTGCGATTACTATTGTCATGCATTCGTTGCTAATCCTACTGGACTTTTGTTCGTATTTTACTGAATAAATTTTTATTACTTTAAAAGTGTTTCCTGGTATTCAGATAATCATTCGTAATTTCATCCGCATTTAAATCCTTTTCCATACGGACGGCGTACTTGAATATCTGGGCTATCTGTTCCTGCCATCTAGATATTTCAACAGGCTATATGCTTCCTTGTTTTTTTAACAGGTCATTATGTCAAATAATTGCATAACCTATTCGTGTGTGTTTGTGAAAAGTTTACGACATTTTGCTGTACGTTACAACAATTTACAATCGGAGACATTGTGATGGCTGGCGATGTGCATTGAAAAGAATGAGTGTTATTCAGATGTCGACCTCTAAAATGCTAATATCCAACTGGCGATCGCTCAATGTTTAACGTCAATATCAATCAAGAAAGAAGAAACGGAAACTCGCTGAAATACTTTGTGCTGAGGATTCTATATTGTACCAAAAACATAATACTGAATAAAACTAATAATAATGACTAATGTAATATTGACTATCTTGTACTTCTATATTAAGTATTCAAAAATTAATAATTCTACAAGTAGACGACTAACCTAATTCTCCCTGTCTCAGTTCACCGAGTTTGATTCCACCTTCACCAATGAATTCTGGTGTTGATATCTTTCTTGGGGTTATGCCCATGGAACCACCTCCACTGTTCGCAGCAACTATTTCACTTGGACGCATCCAGACAATTTGACATGGTGGTCTTTGACTGTAATAAAGACTTGAGTCATCAGCTGGAAAAGCAGAATCGCAAAACAAATGGCCTGATTGGAGAAGATCTTGACGAATTTTTTCAAATGAACTTGAAGGTCCACCAACTGGGCTAAAAACTGTACTTGGTCTGTTAACCATAGGGCTAGGACTTGCTCCTATATCAATTATACGAGGAAATATTAAGCGATATCTTACAAATAATCGAGTAAAAATTATTAATACAAAAAAATGTTAATTAATTCTCAAGTAACGACATTCAAATCAGTATCTCGTAAAAAGTGGTGAAAGATTTAAAATATTTGAGTATGAAAGTCATAATCTTTTCTGCCTCCCTCATGTTCCGAAAATATGCCCAAATTAAGTTTAATTCATTAAGTTTATGAAATTATAAAGTAGAATTTTTTATACAAACAGGTTATCATTTATTGTTCTTACAGTTAGAGTATTGAATGGAATGAATTAAGGCAATTATACTGTTCATCAACGAAACAGTAACACTCATCACATGCTATACCAGAAAACTATCATAAATTCTCAAGGCGAACTGCTCACACTTATTATTGTGATATTTTAGCTTTTTTAAAGTTACATTTACAAAGTTATACGATAAGTTTAAACAAAATGTGACAACAAAGTTATATTAGATTATGACCTCAAGACTTGTAAAGCAGATTACGAACTTTGTCGAGTAGTATATAATCGTCTAAAAATCAGTGATGTCGGTGCAACCAAATCATCTTATTATGAATCGCATTTACAACCACAGTTGATACAAAAACGTATCTGATTAAAGTACATTCCATGTCTAAATAAATCAACTGCATACTAACATTTTTCAACCAGAGTAACATATTTGGCGTATATATAGGACTTTTGAAAAATCAATTCTGGAACGTTTCATCTATATTGATAAATTTGAAACATAGGACCGACTGATAGTTTTACACCTTACGCAAATGTTTTCAATTTTGAAACGGTTTGCGCTACTGGCTGACTTTAATCAATAGACGAAGGAAACATTTATGCATTGTCATGACAGAATTTACTTTACATTTCATGTGCAGTCAAGTTAGCAATTTCACTAAATAAATTTATCCAAACTAAAGTATCTTACTCATAACGCTTTAACCGTTGCATCATCGGTTCCTTTTAAAATCTTGCATGATTAAATGCAGTTTAAAAAATCATAACTTTCGGCAAAACTATTGGAAATATTCTCTGAGATAACAGCATTTACTCTAACAAACTTAATTAACAATGTAACCTTTAAACTATAATTCACTCTAGTCTTTCGTGGTTTGAATACATAGACGTTTAATATAAGGGAGTATATGCATCTTTCATCACATTATTTTAATTATCTATTTCCGAGTGTATTACTAACTGATCTTACTACTTAGAAGCAAATTGAGTTGTTAGTATTGACTCAAATAGCCAGAAGTTAGTTTTACTTTTCGATTTGTACGGATTAGAATAGTGACAAGTGAAAGCATAGCAGAGTAAAGAATTCACTATATGTGGTGATCATAGGCTAAGCAGGATCCGATTTGAGTGAATCTTACCTTTTTTATTGAGTAATCTAAAATATGTGAATACCTTACTGCAGTCAATGTTTTGTAAGAAGAAAGTAACTCTTTTCTGACTTTTATGGTGTAACGACAGACAAGAAGCTAGGAGGCTTTCTGACAAAATATGTTTCCGTAACAATATGCTTTAATAATGTTTTTTTATTTTTCTCATGAGATGTGAATAACATATGATTTTATATTATAAAGCAAAACTCACAAACCTTCCTTTCTACAAATTTTAGATTGTGTCATATATTATCTTCTTTTAAAACGACCGAGTTCTTTCCTAAAACGCTATTGCTAAAGATTATTTTTATTTTCGAACATTCTCCGAATAGCTTATTTTACTCCAAGTAAATTATTGATTATACGTGACCTAAGATGAAAGCCGGCTCTTGAATATATAGTTAGCCGAACTTCGCGATTATTAGTTCATGTCGGAGGGCTGATGTCGGTTGAAGAAAAGATATAGTTTTTTGTGTCGGTTCATTTAAAAGTAGTTGAGCTAAGCATTGTAGTTGTGAATCATAATTTTGTAATGAATATATATGACCTCAACCTACCAACTTCTAGTTTCAATTATTAGGTTGTCTTAGTCTGACTCCTTTATTACTGCAAACTGTCATCAATCGTTTTAATTACTTAATATACGCTTATTTTACATACTACCAGAGTGATCAGGCTGCTTGTTCTCCTATTCTTTACCATTTTAGGTTCTAACACACGTTGCTTCCTATCCACGTAGCTTCAGGTTAGACAGTCAGTCAGCTACAACGTAAATGGATGGAACGCTAAAACATACGATCCAATATCATTGGCGCTGGTATATAAAGTAAGTGTTGGCAAAATGAGAATTAAACAGCCCGAAATATTTTATCAATACATAGTACAATCCTAAACACTGCAAATCTAAAGGACTAGTGACTGAGTTTACTCCAAGGCCTATTGAAACTAAGCTAGTTATCTCTACTTCCAAATAGATATTTCTATGACATCAAAACTAAAAATTGTTTTGGTTGTCTGCATAAACTTAGTTTAAAAACGTATAGAGATAATAAGTAGCTGTATAAGTAAAAATACTTTTTATATACAACGGCGTATACGTGAAAACGCTCGAATTGGTGAAAAATAAGATAGCGGGATTGTGCTACAAAAGTTGCTGAATTCGTCTACAAATTAATCTTAGTTGTATCTAGGTTCACTAGAAAATTCAAAGTGTCATCTCACTTACTGCAATAATTATTTTCAGTAGCTTTCGGGCTCAAAGGGCCTCTTTCAGAATCAAACAACATCGCTCTTGTGTTATGTCTTGCTGTTTTCATGTCATTGACATACTTTTGCGGTGTGTCTGGGGGATATCCAGTCTTATCCCTTAATTTATATTGCGAAGAAGAATTATGGCCATACCCGAATGAGTTTCCACATACATTTAGGTGTTCCAACTTATTTTCCAAAGAACAATTTGAAGGCAAATTGGATTGCATTGGAAAAAAACTGATAATAAGCTTAGTGCTAACACGATTACGGAAATTCCAGATGAGATGTCATCTTGTTCATCCCACCGCTAAAAGTTCATAAGGATAAAGCTATTAGTTTGCATGATTCAAACAAACTGGACATTCCGAACGGGTTTTTTAATATTAAATTTTATATAATGATAACACGATTGCTTTTGACAAATATATGTGGAGTAATGAATGTTTGTAGACTCGAAATTTTATATATTCACACAACTTATTCTAAAACATGAGCTTCATAAGCTGTTAGGTAGTGATGAGATCGAAATTTTCTGATATTCTACCGCCATTAATTGGCCACTCTGACATTTGTGAAAGAAAGTATACATTGTATCCTTCACATATGGCTAAGTATGGATGTTTTTGGATGGATTTCCAAGGTATAGACATGAAATCCAAAGTTTCAATGAACCTTAACATTTAGTAATTATTCAACCAAACTGGAAGACAGATCTGGTATTTTTACCATGGATTTTGTTTTCACCTCTGATGCGAAAAGATAAGGGACGGTGAGATTCAACAGAATTGTTAAACAAGTCTCTTAAAAAAATAAACTGGTGGAAAGTATAACAATAACAGGCAATGATAGCTCTGATTGTTTCTATTCTAGGGTTATTGCCAGCCATGAGCGTTGGGTATGGAGTCAGCAGCTCCATCACGTAGAAAAAAACGTTGCTAAAAAAAGACGACAGAAAGAAAAAATTTAAACCACTAGAACCCTGCCCTCTGAGTTGAAGAGTTTTCATACAGAAAAATCGTGACACTACATGATGAAAGTCAAGAAGTGATGAGCAACAACTACTTAAAGTAAATGGAATATCCGGAAAATGTGGAGTACTGGGAGGAAACTTAAACTAAAGAAGCATTGGACGAATGAGCAAACAGCATCACAATCCTTCAATACAGGCTTCTTTCGAGAGACTTTATTTAGCTCATGAGAGAGTCACAGTGGAGCGCAAAGTTACCTGTTGAAACACACAAAGCTTTGCAACATTCATTGCAATATAATGGTGGATATAATGTCCATCCGAAATAAGGGAGTCAATGAAGAGTTGAGCTCTACTGTTTTAACATATACTTAGTTGTTTGAAGTCAACTCTTTTCCAATCAACCTAAATTGTTACTTTAGCTTACTCCTAGAATCGACTTCCGTAGGAACAGAGGTCCGATTAACCTATCTAACAAGAACACCTGCGTTTTGTTCCCGTAGCCCAAGGGAGAAATAATGACTCGTTCGTCTCCTGACTTTTCGTCAATGACGACCAATTCCATCAGCATTCGACGATAATCTATGAGTGTCTCTTCCCCTACCAGCTTGCTATTTTATCTCGTAGCATTTAATTTCTTCCACAACTATCGCCGATGGTTCGCTACATTCCCTCTGTATGGCGGCCAAAGCTTGTAAGAGAAAAGGGGGTGATGAAATGAAACAAGAATATCTGAGGAAGTGCCGTGAGTGGGTTACACAACACCATGTCGTTGCGATATGATTTTCCCATGCTTTGTCTGGCTGTCACGTGTTCACTCACCTGCTACTTGAGTCGCTCTCAAGTGAAAAATAATAGGGAATCGACTTCAAAAGCAGTAATGAAAATCAGTCAAACCTGAAGAACTGCTCCGCGGCCTGTATAAAGTAATAAAATACGGAAAGGAAATATGCAAACAAAATAGATATTTGATATGTTCCACGTAAGTGTCTGGCTTCCAGAGTGGAATGGCAATCTGTTATGCTTTTGGAATTCTTTATTATAGTGAGGGTTTAAAGTGTGGGTTTAAAGCACCTGTTTACGAGGAATTCTTCCGATGTTTCCATTTAACTTGCTTTTTGACCCTTATTTGTGGCAAATTTTAAGAAAGTGACTAATTTGGCAATCGAAGATTCTTTTCTATTTTTTGACTTACGCCTTTTGATTTAACTACTATCAGACGTAATCTTCAAGCTCGTAATGTTCCTGTGACTGATAAAATTGTGAGTTTATTTTATCTTAAAGGAAACATATCTATGTAATCCTGTTAAGTAATAATTGCTACTATTCATCTACACTTGTGTTTGATACAATAACAAAGGTCTCTACTGTTTTGTTTCCTAGTTCTTATGATTGTAAAAATAATTGTGCAATTTTTTTAGCTTCTACATTAGGCTTAGGACTTAATTTCTTTCAGTTTTGGCCTGCAGATGTGGCAGTAACTGCAGAGATACTCCACATTCTCTTCATCAAGATTTGAGATGGACAACAAGTACCATCACACTGGAAAGAACGACACCTGATCAATACACCAAAGAAAAGCGATCTCAGCAACTGTGATAACTACAGAGGCATCACCGTTCTCTCAATACCAGGGAAAGTCTTCAACAGGGTATTGTTAAACAGAATGCAGGACTCCGTTGACGCTCAACAGGCTAGATTAAATAAGGATCGTGTACTTTGTTCCTATTGATCCCCTTAGTTGTACATTGTTGTATTTTGATTACATTTGAGTTGTTAATACTTGTATTTTTTTATTATAGTTTTTGTTTTTCTTACGCATTCACTAAGTTTATGTTTCTTCCTGAACTGCATCTGTGTTGTTTTACTTGACACTTGTTCTTGGCGATAGCCATATTGATTTCCTCCTCCTTCTGTGTGTGTTCTATCCAGTCAGGATAGAATGACGTTCATTTGTTGTGACTGGTAATTTTCCCTCATCTTCCATTAACTCCTTTATTTATTGTAATTTAGATTTGATTGATTGAACAATTATTGGTTGAATAGCCGGGTGGTAATATTTGTTTAGGTAACGATTTACATTTAAATTTATGATGAATTATAGAACCGCTATTTACCCGATTACTTGTTTTGATTTCGACGGGAAAGGGTGCGTGTCTAAAGTCCCTGGTCGGCTATTCAGCAGTCCAAACCGTAGATTGGATCTTACACTTATATCGCACACGCAACAACAAATGCAGGAGAAAACGACCAGTGTAGCAGCAGCCTAAGCAGCAGTAGATGTCAACATACACGAAGAGGAAAGCAAGATCCTCCGATACAACACAGCATGCAACAATCGAATCATACTTGACGGGGAAGATTTTGAAGATGAACATGGTGAATCTGATGCGGATGTGGAGGAGAGAATGGGCAAAGCAAGAGCAGCATATTTACAATTGAAGAACATCTGGAACTCAAAACAACTGTCAACCAACAGCAACGCTCGTCCCTCATATCGCACCTTGAATTGAGCGATCAAATCACCCAGAAAGGAGATGTTGGTTAGTCAGTGACAATTCTGTACTTTGCTTTTAATGAGGTCTTCGACAGTGTTTCACACAAACTTCGTGTCCTAAAACTTTCTTGATTCGGCATACTGAATCCCCTTTCGTCTCGGCACAAATCCTTTCTAGCAAAACGTAGCAAAATCGTTCGTTTCGATTTTGTTACTTACAGCTTGTGAATGTAACCAGTTGTGTTATAAAAGGAAGCGTGATTGGCCCATTTAACTTTCTCTGTTTCATTACTGTTTTTTTCACTGAGTAGAACTTTATCCACTCTTTTCTACCGCCAAAGAAATCTAAATTCTGCGGTAATCCAAGAAGAAATAAACAAGTTGTACCAATGGACTATTTCGTGTAATCTAACACCGAATGTTGACATAAGTTGATTTATTCACATTGGCCGCTGCCTTAACCTAAATCCGTCTAAACACAAACATACACTGAAAGCTTTCAAAACTGTTTGCAACTTGAGTTTGAGATATAACAGCAGTTTGAACTTTTCTGAGCAGATCGCACCTCAAGTATCAAAAACTGGAAAGCTCATCGGATTCATAATAATGAACTTGAATAATATCGAACCAAGATTGTTACTGTACAAAAATGCATCTTATATATTTTTAGTTTGTAGTAATTGGAAGCATAATAACCAGGTTAAAATTGAAGATGTTCAAAAAAGGTTCACTAAGGCTGTTTTGGGTTGTACCGACAACAAGCATTATCAGCAAAGATGTCAAGAACTCAAATTACAGCGTCTATGGATCAGACGTATCAAATTAAACCTTGTCTCCATATATCGGCTTATAAATGGTATTTCCTATTCTTCGACATCCACTCCTTCGTACTCTATAATGTCATCCCATAACCTACGCGATCCCGAGAACTTGCACAAGCTTACGCCAGGATTTTTTCGTTGTTCGCTACTCAATCATGCAGAACAGACTATCAGTGAACCTCCGTTGCCGTGAAACTATAAACCGGTTAAGAAGTCTCATTGATGTTCTTCTTTCCGAAAATGGATTGTGCCGCTCATTCAATATTAGTGTTTAACAATGATTTATACAAATAAGATCCGTCATCAATCCGATTGACTGAAACGCAAAGTATAACCTTTGAAACTTCTCGCTTATTTTGCTTTGTTTTCTTTCTGTTCATCTTAATATCTGAAATCTGTTTGTGCTCGTATTTATGATTATTATTGTCATTTTTATCATGATTGATCGCCCGATGCATTCGATATTCTTTCCGTTCCTTCTTTTCATTCTAAAAACACTTTATTCTTGAACATCCAAACTTTATAACTAAAAGCAAATTATCATGTGTTACATTTAAATCAATTAGTTTTTCAGATTCATTTTATGTTCACCATATATATATATATATATATATATATATATATATATATATAGCACATAGAAGTTGGAATTTCATTATCTTTTGAATTAATTGTGACTTTCGTAGCACCGTCCTAAATTATTACTGCGCAAACGTTTATGCTCATACCATGTTTTACTCTGAATTCTATCATAGGGATTACCATATATTCACCCAAGTGCACTAGAAGATTTAAAATATGAATGGTTTACTTCAGAGGTCGATATTCATCACATTCTTATTATATGGTTGAACCATGTCATTTGTTTTTTAACTTTTCTCTTTTTCTTTTTTACAATTCATTTGGTGATACAAACGTGATCGTTAACATTTGTTCTGTGTTCATAAACACGCTTACTGAACTATTTGCGTGGTTCGCGTTTCCTTAGGTTTCAAGAAAACATAAGTGACTGATGTACGCATGTTACATCTGA